GTTTTCAACTAGTCCTGGACCAGACTTTTGGGGGGACCGGACCGGACCGAACCAGACGCACCACTTAACATCCCTATACAGTACATAACGATAAGTACGTACATACAATTCAATTTATAATTTTTTTTTGTATTTTAGCATAATACGGTATAATTTTAATTGTTTTTTAATTATTCAGAATTGCTAAATTAAATGATAATTAATTGACATACTGAGCTAATTCCAAGTTGCTTACTAATTATTCAATGGAAACTCCATAAAGGCTACATACTTTCATTGAAAATTACTTAATATCGCAAGTAAAAGGAAAAGATAGCGATAACTAACTCTAATAATGGCGAACACGTGATAAGAACTTTTCAATTAAAAAAATGATGCATTAAAACAATGACATAATCGTTATTTATAACATTTTTATATATATAACGTCAATTATTTTTTAAGTTCGTTACGAAAATAGTAATCGTAATTATAAATTTAACCCCGAGTTTAAAGTTCAAAAAACACTTGGCATGCATTCTATGCCTTCCTATTACGCCAATGCAAAGTAGTTTTTCCAATTCAGCATCGAATGTCGCCAAGTACGAACTGTACGTACTGTACGTGAAGGATCCGATAGTATCACAATTACCCCTATGAGTTGTACGCGGGGATAATTCGGCGGATAGAAATTCGATTTATATCCAAATGCTATCCATATTATACCTCGAAGAGTAGCATCTTCATACTTTGAAGAATATCTAGCTAATATAAAACATTGAAGACTGGCAAAGTTGAACGAGAAACGTATAGCGGATATATATCTAATATCCGGATACAAGATTCAGGTAATAAATAAACATCACCCTATATCACTGTTACACGAAAAAGCATTATTACGTAACTTATATTTGGAGACGTAAAAACATTGAGAGGACAATTATTGAAAGAGGAATATCAATAATTGATGACCTTTAGCGCGTGCTCAACCATTCAATTCTTATATTCATACATAACCATCACAATATCATTGTACACTTTATTGGTCATGAAAAAAAAAATAATAAAATAATAATCTTTACAAACTTTTAAACCATATTTGTGAGAACAAAAGTATTAAAAAGATAGTAAATTGCCTAACTATGATTATAATAGTTGTCAGTATCGAGTAAAAAAAAATAATTAATTATTTCTATAATATTTTGCTTTAGCGCGTTGGTTTTTCAACATGGCTTCAGTAACACTACTAACTATATATAATATGACAACAATAATCATCAAAACGATAAACAATAAATAATTTTTAAACCAACTTCCTACTCCACTATCAGAACCAGAAACAGAACCAGAACTAGAAGACCCAGTATCAGGGCTAGTAACATTACTGACAGTAGAAGTTCCAACTGTTGGATTAAAACTAACATCCTGTAATTTATACCAATTATTATAGTTTCTAACAACGATACCACTAACAGTTATATTTCCGGAAGTTGAAGAAGGTGGTGTCCACATAAATTTAATTGGCATATTTTTTGAAGCACTGCTTGTATGCGTTAACGTATTTGTTCCTGAACCTCCGCATGATTTCGATTGATAACCAGTTGGAATTGTAAATGTTCCAGTTCTACCACTCGAATCTTGAGTGTACAAAAGAACTCCTTCAACGTTTGTTGTACCTGTGATTGATATAGCTATTTGTTGTCCTGACTTAGCGGTAGTGATGGCATAACCACCAAAAGTACTGAAGTCTGAAGCTTGAGATTGTCCATGACCCGAGGTCGCCATTTGATTAACATCGCATGTAGCAGCCCCGGTCGAATGCGCTGATACATAAAATGGTATAGTTATTACAAGAAGAAAAAGTAAAGTTTTTACAAATAGATTGGTCATTTTGCTTTTTTTTTTTTTTAATAAAGCTTAAGGTTCTCTTTCCGTGAAAAAAAAAATCGCCAGCGATTCAAAAAGGGTTTATTTGACAGAAACAGAAAAGATGATTATATATGAATTTCGTTAAAGGTAACCTTCGTCTTCCGTCACGCGCTAGAAAAGAAGAAAAAAAAAAAGGAAAGGGCTCACTAAAACCTTAAGAACAAAAAAATGAGAGTTCCGGGCTGAGTATGAGCAAATTTATGTAACAACAAGGTAACCATAAAAAGCATTAATCGCTAAATATAACAAAGAGTGAAACAATATATAAATCAATATAAAACGTTTTATATGCTCCTTTTAGTAAAAAGTTTAGAATGCAACTATTTTTATAAATAAATTTGTACTGTATATTATTGGTTATTCCCCCTTAACTTTCTTATTAGAATGAACTGTGTTATGTAGTTAACGTTAAATGTTGTTATCAGGAATGCCAAGACTATACATATAACGTTATATATATATATATATTTAGCTTTTTGTACTAAATTAAAATTTTATGACTATGATGATGCCAACTTCGCCTCTACTAGTATTATTCATGAAGTAACCCACATAAAATGATCGATTAGGATAAATTTTACCTAAAGCTAGTAAGCTTAGCGATCAACAGGACAAAAGAAGGCAATTGATTAATCGATAAGTTTTCCCACATATATTCGTGATTTACAATACCGATACTTATTTTTATGCACCACCTTCCTTTCGTGCTCAATATTACTCGGATCAAATAACCGTATATCAAAGCCTCATTCGAGAAATCAAAAAAGAAAAAAAGTATGGTGTAATAATTTTATTTTTAGTGCATTAAAAAAAAAAAAACTGCATTCTACTGTATTATCCCGTATTTTTAATTGATTTTTTCTTATAAATTCTACAAATTTCTTCACAGTCGAGGAAACCTTTCTTGAATTTTATCAAGTGATTAAAAAGATAAAATTATATAAGGTGCCTATCTTATATTATATATTACTATTAATATTACTATATTAATACTTTTATTACATATTAGTGAAATTATTAACCATATATTATATATGATGCTATACTTAATATTGTTTTTTTTCTTTATGTAACAGGTTCCAAAAAAAAACTAATTTTAATTAATGCGTCTGAAACGATACGGAAGATCATCTTTTCCTTTGTTTGGCATCTAAGTACTTGTAAGACCACTCTTGTTACTTTTGCATCATTCGGTTTTTTTGTTTGTTTCATTTAATAATAAATGCCAAGTTTCTTGTGTTTTTGTTTACTTTTGTCTCTTCTCTAGTAAATTCATTTCTACGACCGTTAGAAATCTCACTGGTTGAGTTTCTATTGTAAGCTTTTGATTTTTATAATCTGAGAGCTGGTCTCTTTTCTATCTTTACTTAAACTACTTCCAAAAGAAAAACTAACTAACGGCAGGATTCTTCATTCTTTTATTCTTTTATCAAGTACTATAATTTTTCATATAATCGCATCTGAGAAGACGACAAAAAAAAACCAAAAATGAGTAGTTATATAGATGAACCGGATTTTAATGCTGGCTACTATGAAGCTTTAACTTTTGTTGCTATTGTCATAGTTATCTCAATAGTATATCAAACTAAACAAATTCAGAGGTATCTTTCAGGTTCAAAAGTATCTGTTATTCCTGATTTACCTCAACGAAGAGATAAATATGAGCAGGATAATTATGCACAAGGAATGAGTCAATCTACAGTTGCTTTCGCTCCTGCAACTAAACTTCATTTTGCTCCAACCGTATATGCTCATAAGATATTGAATTATGTTATTCATATCCTTGGTGTTGGCGATATGTCAGTCGGTGAAATCATTATATTCACCTTGTACGTAGCTATAAATATCATTTTTCTGGTGATACCTTTCAATGGATCTGGAATTCCTTCAACACCCAACATTCGAGCCGCTTACGTTGCTTTGGGAAATGTTGTTTTCGTGTATCCTTTGGCTACTAGGAATTCCGTTTTCGTAAAACTTATTGGTGTTCCTTTTGAACGTATGATCAGGTTTCATCGTTGGGTTGGAAGAACAATCTTTTACCTTATTACTTTTCATGCTTCATACCAAATGACCGTTTCTGGTTCTCTTAATCTAATTTTTGCTAGCTCAGTTACTCTATATGGTTTCCTTGCTTATGCGTCCATATTTATAATTGTAATAATGTCCCATTCTCTATTTAGACGTTATTTCTTTGAAGTATTTTACTGGTCACATTTCTTTTTTATCTTCTTTTTCATTTTCGGTTGCCTTCATCAACCACAATTCCTCGTCTTTGCAATATATGGTTTTGTTCTTTATGTCATTGATAGAGCAATTCGTTTCATTAATGGGTTTAAACCTGTTGAAATAGTATCAGTTGAAGCTCTTTCTGCCGGTGTCACTCGTGTAATCTTTGATTTTAAATCACGCTACGAAGCTGGACAATACATGTTTGTAAACTTTCCAAATATCAATCCCCCTATATCTTTAGTCACATGGCATCCTGTATCTTTCTCTTCCGCACCTGGTATAGATGATTTAAGTCATGATAGTATACATATGAAAATTCAAGGTGGATTTACCCGTCGATTATACGCTCAATCACAGGAAGGAATGTATAACATGCCTTCGAAATTGAAAATTGATGGTCCATATGGAAAACCAAGTCTTGACTTTTTAAACTATCGAACTGTTGTGTTGGTTGCTGGTGGTATTGGTATTACTCCAATGATTAGTATATTACGAGATATAGTAGATCGTCAAGTTGCAAACATGCCAATTATGACACAGTCCATTTATTTCTTATGGACGGTACCTGATACCAGTAAGTCTTTTTTTATTTTATTTTATCTTTATTTTTTTTTATTTAAAAGTTTCTTGATATTTTATTAACAACATTTAATATTTATAATAAATAGATTCTTATTCATGGTTTGGAAACGAATTAAATGAAATAACTGAAAAATTCACTAGAAAGTTACCAGAATCCAAATATTTACTTGATGTTAAAATATTCCTTACAAGATCTACAACAACACCATCATCTGTATTCTTCCAAGGTCGACCTGACTTTTTGACGATGATGCAAGATCTAAAGCAATATCATGGTTCTGGTGATATTGCTGTAGGTGCATGTGGTCCATCTTCTATGTTGAAAGAAGTGAGAAGAGCTGCGGTAGCTGAAAGTGATGAAACTTGTTTGATCAAAGTTCATTGTGAGACTTTTGAATTATAAAAAAAAAAAAAAACATTGTTATTTCATTAAACAAGATATGATTTCATAGTACATTAATTATTATGGTTTAAAATGAGTTTATCTGTAAATTAATAAAAATGTTGTTAATACACGATAATACACGATGTTATTGTATATATTACAATATATTAATAAATCTTATACACGTGGAAGTATAATCTACGCGAAAAAAAAATCACGTTCAACTATAACGATAATAATCAATGGTAGTAAACAAATCTTTTTCACGTGGTGTCAACAAAATTTTAAAGTTCATGTCAAATCAATTCGTGTTATAAAATAAGTAAAGTTGGATGTGTTACAAATATCGGCCAATAATCGTAATGATTGTCTATTTCCGGTGTCATCGTGTATTAGCAGATAGGTACCCAGGTACTGTACTACATGCACGTTCGTACCAGCATCTTCTTATCTTGGCAATGCTTACCAATTTATTTTAACCACATTTCTCCTGTTAGCCAAACAATTTTAAATACCAATGATTAAACGTGCGACGATGTCCTACCTAAAACAATGATTCAAGAATGAAAAAGTTTATAGTTAGCAATGAAAATATTTATCGTTATAATTTGCAGAATGTCTTTTAGAGATATCAAGGAGTTACATATATGCATGTATTAAATACTGTACTCATTAACGTTAAAAGTTTAAATTTCTAATTTTATAAGAAGTCTTAAATGTTTCACACGACTCTCCAATACGTACGTACGTACAATTTAGTAATACATGTTGTTATTTACTAAAATTTACTATATAATATATGCATATGTTATACTTAAAATTTTTCATTAGAAAATTAACTTTTTTATAGTTATTTCATTACAAATATATGTAAAATTGTTTAGAATGAAGATTATAGTGAAAATATATTAGATACTACTATAGATTCTATAAAAAATTTCGGAATAAATAACATATTTCGATTTATTTTGAGATTTATTTAGATTATAAATCTATTAATATATGAGGTGCATGTTATTTCGAGACACTCAAGCACGCCATTTTAAAAAATTCGATTTTCAAAACAATGACTATGGTTGTTATGATATATAAACTGTTATCCGACATTTCATATGATCATGTGAATTTTTTTGCCATGATATTTTTTGCATAATCAGTTTTGCAAAACATC